CAACGCAATTGTATATTCTTGCGATCACGTTTATTTATGCTAATTATTTACTCGATAAATAATTTTACAAAGAAATGTTTTTTCACTTAAAGATTTCTGAGAAGTAGGATTATCTATGAATTGGTTTGTTTTTGACCTTATCATGTGCACTGCACTCATTTGTGATAGGTCTTATATATAAAAAATATAGCTAACCTTTTTTATTATTTTATTAGATTAAATTTTCATTTTCTTTTTTTAATGATTGCCCGTTCGTTGTTATTCAGCCACCACTTGCCGAGGTCCTAGCCGCCCTTTGTTTACTAAAATTGCACGCCAATCTCTTGAGGCATGCCTTCTTCAGAATCCAAGGTCTCATAGTACTTCCCTTGAACCAGCCATCTCCTCACTCCTACTTGTTTGGCTAAATACAATCCTCCCGCTTCCTAGTTCTACCTTAAAGAATGCCAATGTAGAACTTCGTGATTATACCTGCCCCTCTCTCCTTAGAAAGACAAGTAGAGTCGACGATAATGTTGATGAAATGACTGATGATTGCTTGGATGATGATGACCGGCCTATTGATGAATTGGCCATTACTCTCGAGACTGAACTCGACCGCGTTTGGCAAAACTCGAGCAGCTTCAGCAACTTTATTAGTCCTTTTGGCCTAGGGACCTTTGGGATCGAGGCCAAAGAAGTTCATGGGCTGCCCGATGACGCTTCTCTTTCATCTTCACTGACTTCTTCCAACCTTATGAACCGCGATCCACCATGGCGCATTTGGTTGGCAAGACAACAAAGACATCGAGTTGCTGTCTATTTTGAGCGCCTATGCCGATTAATCTCTACTCCTGGTTGGCACGATTGCTCCACTATTAGAAGTCGAGTAAGCCATCTAATTATGTTATTTTATTTTATTCCTTTGGGAAATTTATGTTATGCTGAAATGTGTCCTTTTTATCAATGGATTTCATTTTACCATATAATTTCATACTTTATAAAATATTTGAGCTTTAAAAGTCTATTGTTTATTGTTTATTTCACTCATGCCGATTTATCTATCTTTACTTTTCGGATTAGAGTAAGAATTTTTTTCAGATCCTGCGGTTTTCAAAATTGAATAGTTTTTATTTATTTATGGGGTATTCACCTTTGAGTGTTTAGCATAGGAATTATTCGTAAATCATGTTCGCATTTGCGAAAAATGATTAAAGAATGGCGTAAATAAGTAACGCATTATTTAGAGAATTTTATCTCCTTGTTTATAAACAAGTATTTTATTTTTATGTCCGTAAATTATTTAAATATTTGACAAAGAATAAATATAAAATTAGCTGAAAATTATTTTGCGATATCATTTATATATATAATTTTGTATG